CCCTGCCGCTCTGCTTACAGCTCTCCATTCTGAAGGCAGCGGCGAGGACGGAGCCGGGAGACAGAGCCGGAAGGATGCAGCATGGAGAGAGGTAAGTGCAGGGGACGGAGGGGGGCGGCGGGGGGAGGACGGACCGGCACTCTGATTACAAGTGTTCTCCAATTCTACATTTAGCTCTGCTTGTGCAAAGCAGGGCTAAATGTAGAAAGTAAATTACCGCCCGGCGCCCGGAACTCTATGTTCAGGGTGTCGGGTGATTAACCCCTTCGTGACTGACGACGTACAGTGTACGTCGCCAGCATCGGGGCTGTTTAAACAGACTCCCGGCGACTTTTGGATCACTTGCATCACTTCCGGTCCCTGGGCTGTCAGTTCTGGGCTCCTGCAGCCCAGCTATAAGCTATTGAAGTGCGATCTGCACTTCAATAGCTTATTTCCAGTGTAAAGGTGACACTGAGGGTCTTTTGGACCCCCAGCATCACCTTAAAGAGGACCTGTCACCACCATCTGCTATTACATGGGGGGGCTTGCAAGCCCCCCCATGTGATAGCAGTCAAAGTAAAGAAAAAAAAAAAAAAAAACAGTTTTTAAAATTAAAATGAAAAAAAATAAATCTAATAATAAAAAAAAAAAATTTAAAAGTCCCCCGCCCCCGCGAGCACGCGCGTCGCCACGTAAACACGCGTCGGGTGCGCCTACGTATGAAAACGACGAACGCGCTACACATGTTGGGTATCGCCGCGCACGCCGGAGTGAGAGCAATAATTCTAGGGCCAGTATTTTGGGGTATCTCTAAATTGATGACCTGTGGGGGCTTTTAAAGCGTCTTCTATTGACTTTTTGGGGTACTGCAGTTTTTCGCCGTTTCACGGACGCACGCAATTTGTAACCTGGGCATGTTGGGTATCGTTTTACTCGTTGTAACCTCATCTTTTATATGTCATTTAAAAAATTGGTATTTTGTCGTGTTTTGGGGCATTAAATAAATTTTTCAATAAATGTTGGGGTTTAATAAGGAGTTGCGCTAATATTGCGCAACATAAAAATTTGCAACTACCACCATTTTATTCTATAGGGTCTTGGCATTCAGAAAATATATAATGTTGGGGGGTTTTAAGTCATTTTCAGGCCTAAAATGTGGAATATAACATGGGTGCAAAAAATGAAAAAAGGGCCTCAGTCATGAAGGGGTTAAAACCTGTGCCACCCCTCTGCTCAGTGCCGCCCCGAGGCCGAGCCTCAGTGTCCTTGCCGGGAATCCGGCCCTGGGCGCAGTTTGCCACGCCCTCCGGCTGCAATGCAATCTCCCGCACAGGATCGCAGGGCACATTGTGCCTGCAGTCCGGTGCGGTTAAAATAGCGCTTGCAGCATTTTGACCACAGGCCATGGCAATGGCACCATTAACTACAATGGCCCGCCACACCGCCTCCTGCCCGGCAAAAAAGTGAGTATTGTTCCTCTACGATTTCTGAATGCGAAAGTGGTGGGTATTACATCACTTCCGCATTCAGCTGTGATTTCTCTTGCTGGTATAGCCAGAGATGAAGCTGGTAAAGCAGATCTCTGCTTCATCAGCTTATTTGGGGGTCCCCAGAGCAGAATAGTAAAAAAGTTAAATGAATGAAAAAAAAATGTTGAAAAATTATTTTAATATTTTACAATTTTAAAAAATAGGAAATTGTAAAAAATATATTTTAAAGAAAAGAAAAAAAAAATAATGAAAAAAATTACGCACGCCAACCCAATTGCACGTGACGAACTCCCGCCG